CCTAGCAGTGGGGACATGGCACCTGAAGAAGCCACCTCTTGCAGCTAGGCAGGACACCCAGTGGAGGGATAAGGACACCAGTCTACCCACAAAACTTTTGACCCTAAATTTATTCTGTCTAAAAGAAACGCAGGGACAAAGATGGAGCAGAGACTGAAGGTATGACCAAACAATAATGGTCCCAACTTGAAACCTGTTCCATGGACGAATACCAGTCCTTCACAGTATTAATGATACTGTTATGCTTGCAGACAGGAGCCTAGCACAACAGTCCTCTGAGAGGCTCTACCCAACAGTTGACTGAAACAGATGCAGATATCCACAATCAAACAATGGGCAGAGGTTAGGAACTCTTATGCAAGAGTTGGTGGAAGAATTCACGGCTCTGAAGGGAATGGGAACCCCACAAGAAGATCAATAGAATCAACTAACCTGGACCCCTGGGAACACTCAGAGACTGAGCCACCAACCAAAGAACATTCACAGGCTGAACAAAGACCCTGTTCCCCAACATGACTGTCTTGTCTGGCCTAATCTGGCAGAGACTTGATGTGAAAGGGTATGGGGATGCCCAAGGGGGCCCTTCCCTAATAGGAAAAGAGGACAGGGTGGGGGAAGGGATTCTGTGAGTGGAGGACCAGGAGGTGGTGGCAGAGTTTAGGATATAAATAAGTAAAAATAACAAAGCAAAACACAACAAAAAATCCCCCCAAACAAAACCCCATATAGCCGAAAAATATCCCAACTATTAAAAAATGAAGCCAGGAACTTCTCAGGTAAATGGATTGAACCAGAAACAAACAAAAACAAAACAAACCAACCAAACCAACCAAGCAACCAAACAACCAAACAAACAAAATCATGCTAAGTGAGATATCCTAGAACCAGAAAGAGAAATATGTTATTTGCTTATATATGGATATAAGCTTGTAAGTCTATGATAACCAGCCTATAATCTATAGAACCATCATTTAAAGGGTTTAAAGGGTTCAGGAAGAACAGATAGACATCATTAGGGATGAGAAATAGAATAGGTAGCTATGGAAGCATGATGGAAGTGCCTGCAATGGCACAAACAAATGGGCAGGGGAACAACGGAGGGAATACAGGGAAGAGAGCTAAAATTAAGTGCCATCTGAGGGTTTATTTGGAAGTCTAATATCGTTGAAACTTCCAAAAATACATATATGGTGATTTAAGTAAGGTTGGCAAATAATGAAGGAGACAGAGCCCCAACAGGCCATCTAATCACTGCGAATGGGTTATATCTAATTGAGCTTGTGGCCAAAGGAGGCCCAGGGGATTCACCAAACAACTCAGGCTGTTGCCAAGACAGCTCTCCACAAACTGATGGCAAGGCACATTGCTGAAGACAACACCTGCACAACTCATTGTGTTGATTAGAGAAATCAAGCTGGTGCCTACATAGAGCTTTCACCCCCATGTTCCAACATCTGTAGTACCTGAAGTATCTGCACATGACCAAAAGATAAACCTAATCCCAACGAATACACAAAACCTTGGATTGATATTGGCACCCTGCCTGCAAGACATGCTGGTGCAATGTAGGCACAAAGCTTGTATGAATAATCAACTAATAAGTGATTTAACTAAAGGCTACTCTGTGAGATAGAACCCACATCTGGCATTGCTTGGATGACCAAGAATGTACCTCTAGATAGTCCAAGGACTTAGGGTAAAACCAAATACCCTAAGTTGGTTTTTTTTTGTTCTTTGTTTTTTTTTTTTTAAAAGTAAAACATAACAATAAAATGTCTCGTAATGGCACTCTACTATAATCATAGTCCAGTGCCTTGCTCAGCCATCATCAGAGAGGCTTCTTCCTGCAGCAGATGGGGAAAAATACAGAGACCTGGAGCCAGACAACATGCAAGAGTGAGAGACTTTGGAATAATCATCCCTATACAGGATATCTCCATCAAATCTCTTTCTTCATGTCTCAAGGAACTCTGCAGAAGAGGAGGCAGAAAGAGACTTAAGAACCAGAGAAGATAGAGAACACCAAAACCTGAGGTCTCTATATCAACAAGATCAACATATGAACTCACAGAGACTGGGGTCACATACACAGGGCTTGCATGGGTCTGCACCATATCCTCAGTTTACATACTATGGCTTCCAGTTTGATGTTTTTATGGAATTCCTCACTGTGTGAATGAACAGATCTGTTTCTTGTGCCCACTCTTGGGTTCTTTTTCTTCTGGTTGTTCTGTCCATTCCGATGTGTTAGTTTTTGTCTTACCTTATATTTTATTTTATTATACTTTATTGTTTATCCCTTAGTAGAAAGACAGAAGCGAGAGAAAGGAATAATGTTGTCTTCCCTGGGATGGGAGGTTGGGAGAGGTAGAGGAGTGTGAAAATTGTTATATTATTTGAGAAAAAAAATCTCATTTTCAATAAAATGGAAAAAATATGGCTAGTGGGACTTTTTGGGTGCAGCTTCTGATGTCACTAGGAAAGACGATCTATTGTTTTGATTGTAAGCCTTACCTCACAGCAAACTCTCTGATTCTCTGGATCTTACAGTCGTTTCTCCTATCTTCTGCAATGATCCTTGAACCTTATATATAGGAGGGTTTTGTAGACATATTGATTGGGACCAGGCTGGATTGTACTCTTGGTTTTTTTGGTGTAGTTTTCTGTAATGGTCTCTTGTCTGTGGCAAAGGGAAGTGTCCTTGAAGATGGGAGAAGTCTACATTTATCTGTGGGTATAAGGACAGATACTTATACATTGTTAGGATTTTGCTGGTTTAGTAAATTAGTGTTTGTAGATTCTTCTCCAATAACCATGATTTCACAAGACCATCCAAATATGAGCCGAACAAGGAAGACAAAAATGAACAAACTGGATAGGAAAAAAGGCCATGAGGCCTCAACCCTCCACAAAGGCAGCTGAGGAAAGCTGGGCATGGGAGAGGTGGTCCTCCTCAAGGAAAATCACACTAGTTGATTTTCTAGTGCCAGTCATCCATGAAAATATAAATATAAGAAACTTATTGACTCAATAGGCTATATTTAGTGATATATATGTATATACTATCATATATGTGCTTGTAATAACAACGGTGAAAAAAGAGGTCTGACATTTGAAACGGAGTGGGAAGCTGTGTGTGGAGGGCTTGGGAGGAATGGGAGGAAAGGGAGAAATGCTATAATTAAATACAATCTTAAAACAAGCAAACAACACCAACAAAATTGGCAGTGAACTCATTTCAGTCCTGCTCAAAGAACTGCAGACAACTCAAGGACTCTGAGAGAGGGAGACGTCATCTTTGCGAGGGAAGAGCACGACAGTTGGTTATTCAATACCAAATGATCAGCCCTGAAAAAAATACATAAAAGTAACATTATTTAGATTAAGAAGTTTATATTTAGGGATATGTATGTAAACATATATAAATATACGCATGTAACAATGATTAGTGAAAAAAGGGTACATGAATTTGAAAGAGAGGAGGAAAGGGATTATGGAGGACTTGGAGGGAGGAAAGGGGAGAGGGAAGTGATGTAATTTTGATCTCAAAAGAGCAAAAGAAAAAAATGGAAAAAATGTATTTTCGGCAAAGGCCTGAGTATTTTATTTTAGTTCATCACTAAATATGTTCATGTGGGATGGGGAGGAAGATCTCAAGGGACCCCACCTCTAGACAAAGAACAAAGATCACCTAATGGCTGCTGAGAGAGTCAAAATTAGACTTACCAAGGGATAATCCCCTTACTTGGTTATCTAATGCCAGTGGTCAGCCCTGAAGCCATATACACACAGTCATACTACATGGACTTGGCATGTGCTGTATGTATGTACATGTATGCATAATAAATCTTGGGAAAGAGGCCATGGATTTGAATCTGTAGAGACTGGAGTGAGAGAACAGGGAAGGAGTTGAAGGAAAGAAACAGGAAATGATGTAGATTTTCTTGAAATTTATAAAACTGTATTTGTTGTGTGTGTGTGTGTGTGTGAAGTAAGTTTTTGAATATTGCCAGAAAAACAGAACATATCTCAACAGTGTATGCTTTTATAGCACAATGCATGCAACCGAGCTTCGTAGACTCATGCATTAAATGCAGAGCACTATTGTCTGTGATGCTTTAGATTAGTATGTGGAATTCAAAACTGTAACAGTTTCCTATGCACCTTTCCAAATACGTGAAAGATGGCCTTATTTACTGTTACCTTGGAAACAATAATGCCCAAAAGCTATGCTTACTCTCTTTGGTACAATTAAAAATCATTTATGGAGCAAATGTAATTTAAAATATTATCCTCAAGCACGGATTTTAATTAACCTTAATTATATGAAATATGTGACGATAGTTAGTGTTAACATTATTTGGAAATCTAAATATAGTTTTCTAACAGAAAGTATGCCAGTGTCTTTTAAATTGTGTCTTAATCAATGCATGCGTTACGATCGCCCTTTTTCAGTTAGATTGAGATGTTCTGAATATTGCTAACTTTGTCAGTTCTGTGTATGATAATCTTTCAGTACATGTATGTGCATGTGATTATGTGTGTGCAAGGGCTTACATGTCCCATGGAGTTTGTGAGGAGATCAGAGGACAGCATTGGAAAGTCCTAGCTTTCTACCGTCGTTGGAACAATATCTTTTTGTTGTTTACTGATGTTTATACCAGGCTTTCTAGCTCAGGGGCTTCTGGGGATTTTCTTGTCTGTACCTCACATATTGCCTTAAGAATGCTGGCATTTAACTGTCTGTTACCATACTTGGCTTCATGTAGGTTCTAGGGATTTGAACCCAGGTCCTGATGTTGTGTAGTAACCACTTTTAGACATGAGACATTGCTTCAGTTGTCTGATTAATAATTTTATGAAGTTAAAAATGTCTGTCTACTTTGCTTTAAACTTTTCTTAATAATTGATAATGTTGAAGAGTCAGTTAAGAGCTATTGGTTCTTAGAAATTTGCCAAAGGGACATAAATTGATGTACATGCTTTCTTTCATTTTCTAGGACTCCACTATTGTTACTCCAATTATTTTGAGGACTGATCCTCAGGGATTTTTCTTTTACTGGACGGATCAGAATAAGGTAAGAGATAAGATGTCTTTCTTACATCATCCTGATAGTCACTTAACACTGTATTTGTTTACTTAATGTCTGTCTTCCCATTTTACAGGTTACCTTTTGTAGTATTATTTATTGATTCTGTTTCCAGAGACTCAGGCTAAGGGCCTTAGGACTTCTCATAGATGCGTGCATGAAATGCTGGATTCACTAGATTCTAAAATAATCATTGTTTTCTGTTCAAGACAAGAAGTATTTGGATTGTATTTGGTGGTGAACATGATTTTGGACCTTCATCAATTTAAATCCCTTTCAATGCAGAATGAAGAAAGTCAATGAGAAAATTCCCTTTGACCCTAATGACCAAAGGTTGAACAGCCAGTCCTTCTCACTTATCCCTGTGCTATAATTAACAGTTCTCCCGGTAGTAGTCTGATATGGCCTTGATAATTTATTCATGTTTGTGATGGCAAATTGTGGTTGTCAGTTTGTCACATCTGGAGAGAGGGAACCTCAGATGAGGAATTGTCTCCTTCATTGTAGACATCTATATGGGATATTTATTACTTACAATTGATGCAGAAGAGTCAGGCCTGCTGTAGGCAGTACCATTCCTAGGCAGGTGGGCCTGCCTATAGGAAAGAGAGTTGAACATGAGCCTGAGATCAAGTCAGTAAACATTCTCTGTGAACTCTGCTTCAATTCCTTATACCAGATTCCTTCCTTGAGTTCCTGCCTGTGCTTTCTCTGGTTATATATTGTAAACCATAAGCCAAATAAACCATTGTCCAAGTTGCTTTTCATCCTGTTTATCACAGCAACAGAGAGTAAAACTAGAACAGTGTTAACAAAATTAAAGCTATGTTTCCTTTAACCGTTTTATTGAGTTTTCAAGAAACTTTTCACTTTTAGCTTTCTGCCTACAATACTAAGAATTCAGTAGCTCAACTCTTATAAAGCCAGTTGACAATTTCATACTGAATTATTAAAAACTGTCTGTAGACCATAAGATTTATTTGAGGTTTAATGGGCAGTTAGACAAGAATATTCATAGGAAGTGGTTATTTTTTCAAGAGTCACTGGCACCTAAGAGACCCAGCACATCAAATATTTTCATCCTCTAATTTCTGACATCTGAAGAAGTCATCTGTTGTTGTTGTTGTTTTGAGATTACAGAATACATTTAGAAGCCAATAGGGAAGCAATACTAATAGAATACTATTAGAACAGATAGGGGTTCCCCAATTACTGTAAAATGTGGTTCAAATATTAGTTTTGAACCCCATGTTATGTTACTGTGGGCTTTTCGATCCATGTCCCAGGTCCCAAAATAATGACTCTGATACTTACTATTTATCAATAAATGCTTCAGTCACAAGCTTTTGCTCTATCCCTGAATAGCTTGTAATTTAATTAACCCACTCATTCTGTTCTGTGAATGCCACGTGGCTGGTAACCTCGTCTCAGTTTTATGTCTTTCTCCTCAGAGTTTAGGGGCGAATTTCTTTCCACATCAGACTCTTAACTCAGAGTTCCCCTCTCTCCTGGAATTCCCACCTCCTATTTCCTGCCTCAGCTAATAGGCCATTAGCTTTTTATTGACAGGTGATGTTTCTATACAGTACCTAAGAGATTCCCTCTACAGTGCTAGATTCCTGGTATTCAAAGTCCTTGGATAATTGGTCTTAGGCTGTGCCTTGGGCAGCCTTTTATACTTGTGTGTACATGTTGTAACTGGCTTAGGCAGCATCATCGTCAGAGTTGTGGGTCCTCTCAGAAACTTGTCTATGCTGAAAAATTAATATCTGGCCTTCAGGCCAGCCCTGAATGGGCCAGCTCACAGTCTTAAAAAGCAAATTTTATTGTAATTTGTGCTGGAGCTATAACAAACTACTATGTGTGTTTGTTGTGGAAATGTCTATCCTCATAGATGTGGGAGGAGACTATAGATTTTATACCCAGGCCCGAAATTATCTGTGGGTAAGAGCTCATACCTATTGTTCTTGTTTGTTACTGGGTGTGTTAATCACATTGTCTTAGACATTCTGTTTGGTTTCCTGCTGCTATGTATAAAACAATAGCTTAAAAGGGTTTTTTTTTCTTTTCACTCCTAAGGACTATTTTTAGAACAGTCACAGCTATATTTGTTAAAGATTTATTTACAACGCCTAGAGCATTTCTAAAGGTTGGGTACTTGTACAAGAGACCAAACTGTCAGTTTGATTTTTTCAACTTGTAAATCAAATTTCCATAAAAGCACCAGAAGATATTTTGGGGATTTTAAATAATTCACAGCAACTCAGTTAAGCACCACTATAAGACTAATCATAAATGTTTCTTTGCTTGAAGAAGAGAAGGGGACCAAAGGCTCTTTGATGAATCTCTATTGTTTTGAGAGCTCAACGTTTTGATAGTGTGTGTGTCTGTCTGTCTGTGTGTGTGTGTGTGTGTGTGTGTGTGTGTGAAAGATTTTTAGTGGATAAAATGGCTTTAAGTGTTTTATACCAGCCTTTCCCTCTTGGTCATATAACCAATGGGAGCAAATGATGATGGGAAAGGGAGAGGGATTGCTTTCTGTTTCTTTATTGCTTTTACTCTTATGGATATTAATCTTAGTCAAGAAATGGTAATTTTACTCTTTAACTTCTTAGATCTCTAAGTCATTCTTCAGTCACTTATCTGTTTAGAGCTTTATTTTTTGGTCAGTGGTCATATATCTTAGACTTGAACAGATGAGAGGATTTAAGAAAATAATAAAAGAAACTTACCACATTTTCAAGTTTGTCATTTTCTTTCTGGCTTTAAGCCCAGTCTTGGAACCAGATCAAGTGATGTATCCACTTTTTGGTCTTGGACGATTGTAAACAATGCATTAGAGTCCATGCAGGCTGGACAAACTGTGCACACAAACAGAGGGCAGCATGCCAGGCTTTTAGTTGAGGTTGTGCATAAGCTTCTTTAAAGGCACAGGGCTGAGGGGTGCAATCAGGATGTTCCGTACAGGACTAGTTGTTTAAAGTCTTTTGTTTTTCTGGTAGTTAGTATTAAGAACCTGCCATCTGGGTTATAGCAACCTTAGAGAGAACAACATAATTCTTTCAAGGTTAGTGTTTGAGTGTACACATTTGTTTTCCATGATTGGGACACTTACACTGGTATTTAATATAAGATGCCTCATCTTTCTAATCTGTCCCTCAATATTCTCCATCTTTGATCCATAAAGCTTGTGTTGAAGCACCTTGATTAGTAATTGCTGGAAGCTTCCTCTGCTCACAGGTAAGACAAGTGGTTAGAGAGCCACTCAAAAGAGCTTTGTTGTCAGATCTTGCCTCAAATGGCTCTGGAACGAGCCCCTCCCATTCATGGTGTCTAACATATGTCCATTTCCTGTCATAACTGTATCCTGCCTTGTACTTGCCCTGATTTCAAGCTGCTGGTTTCCTCTCTGTAGACAATGCTGTGCTACCTCCCCCAACCAACTGCTGCTTTGACTTGTCACCATAGAAATGATAGGTGACAAAGAAGACAGACAGCACAGATGAGAGATTTCAGAATTCAAAACCAGAACTGGCAAGTCATTTTTAGAGAGCTGAAATGTGTGTAGCGAAACACTGACAGGGTATTTGGGTTGGTGCAAGCAGATGAATGTGAATATCACTTTTAGAGATAAATGTTCATACTTTGTTCCACCGCTGGACTTATTTTGAAAATTTTTCTTCTGACTGTTGGTTCTGTAAAGATTATTGAATATAATTAGCAAAAATGAGTTGCTGAATATGATTATTTTATTTTAAGCACAGTGGCTTTTCTGTAAATGTGGAGTATGTAAGAAAGATGCATTTATTTATAAGTCATGGGTGAGAAGTTCCTGCCCACCCCAAGTGCCAAAAAGGTTGCCTTCGTTAATCTATGCTACGTGGATGCCAGCAGTCATAACAAGGAGTGCTAGCCAAGGAATCCAAGTCACTATGAGAATCTGAGAAAAGGCTCAACATGGAAGAACCCACAAACTCCTATCTAGAATGTGATACAGGAGAACATTGTCTTGCAATTTTAAGCCCTGTTTCTGTGCCAAGTGTGCTGTAAAAATAAAACCAGTTTAGTTCAGATCTGAGAAGCTCAAGAAACTTCAATAAATCCTTCCTTCTTTCCTTAAAAGAGAAGCCCTGGGGAAAGGAAGATAAGTACATAAGGTTTAAAAAGAAATGGGAGGAAAGAAGTATGTTTGCTGAAGAACTCTTTACTACCATATTTTGATACAGACTTTTAAAAATGCAAGTAATACATAAATAGTTTTATTCTAGTAAGAGCCTAAAGCAGTATAAATATCCTCTGCACTATCTGATAATCCCGATCCTAGGTCTTTCTCTTTCTCTCCCTCTCCCTCCCTCTCCCTCTCCCTCCCTCTTCTCTCTCTCTCTCTCTCTCTCTCTCTCTCTCTCTCTCTCTCTCTCTCTCTCTCTCTGTGTGTGTGTGTGTGTATGTACATGTTTTCCATCCAGGAATAGGCATTATCTTTCTGATTTATTCCTGGATTTTCTTCATGAATTTCAAGTACATAACTGTGTAAATACTGTATTTTGTTTTGTTCAAACCCATTTTATCCTGTTATTATTGTTGTTTTTGCTATTTCAAAACCTGTCTTTGACTTTTCTGAATGTTGCAGATGTTCATGTATGAACCTACCCCCTTCTTTGAACTTGTACTAATGTGTCCTCATATTGGATTGCAAACTTTATTTAATAATAATGAAGTTCCCATAGACAGATTGTTGGTGTTTCTTTCTAACTTGGGGCAACACGAAACCTCCTACAACACAGAGTAATGGCCAACCTGTTGTTCTGTCTTTGGGTATCCAGGTTATAGGTTCTCTATGGGAAATACAAGTACCATTGCTATGTGAAAACTAAACATAACTTGAATTTTAGTCTTTGACTGTACCTACATAACATTATGTGAGAGAAACTGTGTTCTCATGCCCCAGTCAACACTGCTAGGAAATATTTCAACTTTTGCCTGACCAA